GATATGGCCATGAAATATGGGATTTGTTTTTTCGTAGTAACTTCTTAAATTTAGAGCTCTCTGCACCTGGGTAAAAAGTTCAATGGAAGATGCTTGAGTCAAGGTTGGGATGACATGAGTTACATTAGCTGTGGTTCAGCTACAATTTTGGTTTTTGTTGTCTTTCAAGTCTTTCACAGATGAACTTATAAAAATACGGGGAACTAGCCTGGTTTGAAGACAAGGATCAAATGAGCTTGAAGCCTAGTTATTAAAAAATGTGCTTGAAAGCTATATCACGTGTGGTTTCCAGATATTAAATTATTTTAAATTTTCAATTGTTAATCCCAAGGCATGCGCACAGACTCATTTGTTGCTGAAATGAAACATTGAAGTGCAGTCTATTTCTTTGGGTTTATTTTTTTTCCTCTCAAAGTTTCCTGTTCGCGGCTTTTTCCAGCCTTTCATGCATCTAACATTTGACGAGGATCTGAGAAGAGCAGAAAAGCAAGAAGAGCATAATAAAGTAAAGAACAAAAAACAATGGAAAAAAAAGAATCGTGAGGAATCAAGTCATTCGCAAGGGAATGATGGAAGACAAAGTACGAGGACAAAGTTTACTGAAGAGGTATTACTGTTGCCTATTATTTTCCTTTTTCCCTTTCTCAATTGCTTTGGCATCTTTTTAGCTGGTAAAGGATGAATGTTTGTGATGTTTCTCATAGGTTGCTGCGGATTACAGGGCTGCTTCTCTTGCTCCAGATGTGATGAAGCAAAGAGAGATGCAGTCAGATACACTTCGTGCTGTATTTGAAACATATTTCCGAATCTTAAGGCATACAATGCAGTCATTAAAGGCTAGGTAAGTTATTATTATTTAGAGCTTGCACGTTGTTTGTATTGCATTGGTTTGTGTTTTCTTCAACAATTCGGTCTTACAGAAAAATGTCCCAAGTACTTTTATGTGCTTGTGCATGTATAGGAGTGAGCAAGATGGCATGAAATCTCTTTTAATATTCATTTAACTATACTTAAATTTAATTAAAATATTATGAATCATTTTACGCATCTCTAATATAACTTTTTATCTTTTGAGTTGAACTAAACTTTTCAATTACTGTACAAATATGAAGAAAGATTGGTGTTTTACTTTTTCTGAAAAAAGGGTACATAACTAAACAAGAGCAAACCATACCATTTGTTTGTTTCAGTTCAGTTCCTTTTTTTAAGCTTGATGCTAATGGGAAACTACTCTTAAAAGTTAAATCAATTGATCCTTGTATATACTCTAGATAGGGAGGCTCCCTCTTTTAGCTCGAGTCTTTGACTGGATGTTGGTGTAGGGATACTGGTCTGCTTGAATTGTCCTTAAGCTTGAAAATTTAAATTTGATCAGACATGTTGATTCATGAAAGCTTTGGTGTCTTTGTATCTTCATGGATTTTGAATTGTTTTTCAATGTACGTTTCATCTTACGCAACTCAGACTGCTGAACCAAGTATCTTTCATTTATTATGAAGGCCTGAAGCAAGTATTACTGCATCTACGACTAGCCCATCTGGATCCCATCCTCTGCTTGCTCCATGTTTGAATGGGTTGGGGAAATTTTCTCATCTGATCGATTTAGATTTCATGGGAGATCTTATGAATTATCTAAAAAGGCTTGCTTCTGGTGATGATAAATCTTCTGAGAAACAGTCGCAATGTTTGACCGTTTCTGAGCGGCTTCAGTGTTGCATCGTGGCATTTAAAGTAATGAGGAAAAACCTTGATGCTTTGAATGTTGATCTTCAGGACTTTTTTGTCCAGCTGTACAATATTGTACTCGAGTACAGGCCTGGAAGGTTTGTGCTGAACTCTAAACCATAATGCTAAAATTGTTGCTGGTTTTTTTAAAGCAAGCCTGGTTAATGTTTGTTCCAAGGATTATTTTAATATTTATGCTCTTCATTACAACAAGTTCTCTGATAACGTCATTCAAGTTTCGATCACAGAGATCATGGTGGATTGTTAGCTGAAGCTTTGAAGATAATGTTGTGCGATGATAGACAGCATGACATGCAAAAGGCAGCTGCATTCATTAAGCGTTTGGCTACTTTCTCATTATGCTTTGGATCTGCAGAGTCGATGGCAGGTATATTAAGAAGCTTGTACTTTCCTTTTAGTTTTGAAAAATATTTTCGTAACTTTTATTTAACCGTGAATATGTTTGGCTATTTACAGCCTTGGTCACCGTAAGGCATCTTCTTCTGAAAAATGTCAAGTGCCGCAACCTTTTGGAAAACGATGCTGGGGGAGGTTCAGTGTCTGGCTCAATAGCGGTAAGGTTTCATTATAACTTTCTCATTACACCGGGTTTTTCATGATGAAACTTCGTTTGTGCTGCTCATCTCTGTATGATGTTTATTTTCATGATGAAACTTCATTTGTGCTGCTCATCTCTGTATGATGTTTATCCCTCCAAATTTCACGAACGCGAGCAAACAAAAAATTACCAAAGAATAGCTTTCCAAGTCCTTAAAAATGTATTTTAAGCTCTTAGAAAGTCGATCAAAATATGCTTTTGATATAATTTACATAATAATGATTTGCCTGCGAAACTGAACTATTGATTGTATCATCCCACCTCAACCCTACTCAAAGGAGGAAAGAGAGACTAATTTTTGCTAACTCAATGCAGAAATATCAACCATATGCTTCTGATCCAACATTGAGTGGCGCTCTTGCTTCTATCCTTTGGGAACTTAATCTTCTGTGGAAGCATTATCATCCAACTATCTCAACGATGGCAGCGAGCATATCAAGCATGAACAATGCTCAAAACCAAGTTTATATCTCCACTGTTTCTCCCCAACAGGCATTCAAAGACTTGTCGCTGGAACAAGAGTCTTTCAACCCACAGTTTAATGTACGAAAAGTTAACAAGAAAAAAAGAGGCAGGGAATCATCCGAGCCTACTCTCGATACTTGCAGCGCAATCGACGAAAATGAAGTGAAAGAGAAACTTTCAACAAGATTCTTTCTTCTCCGGGACATCAAGGAGAATGAAAGGTTGAGAGCTGAATTGGAGCGTACCACTTTGTCTTTGCAGCTATACGAAGAATACAAAAGGCAAAAGAGAAAAACCAGAAAGTCCAAGAATGTTTAATTTTGTTTAGGTTATTTTACAGACCAAAAAAATTTGATAGTTTTTGTATAAATTCTTCGTGGTTGCAAGAAATGTAGACCGATTTAGTTGAGAGGAAATGTAAACCAAAAAATTAGTCTTTCAAACTTCATGAATATGAAACAGATAAAAATAACTAAGAAAGAGGTGAGTGAAAATCGTGTTTATAAGGTCCTCCAAAAACTTCAAATTTAATGAAAATTTTTAAGGTGGTAATGCTAGAAGTTCAACAAGGTCCTCCAAAGGAGAGAGGAGAGAGAGCGAGAGAGAGGAAGGGTCCAAGAACGAGGGGATAAGAACGTTTTTCGCGTTGGTTTATATTTGTTTTTTCCTTTTCCCGAAAAGTTGATATGATAATCGAAGCTTTCCGGGAAGACTGGGACCGACCCGGATTGGATCCTTCCTACTTCCTACCAATAAATTTCCCCCCATAAGCTGACGGATTTCTTCGTGTTTGGTGTGTTTTTAGACCTCCTTTGAGCGAGAGACTTTGATCTCTCTCTATTTCTGATGCAATTTCTCTGCCACTTCAATGGATTCCAAGCCTCCTCAGCCTGCAGGTTTGCGAGATTCTTCCCTCTTCTTTCTTCTATTCATTATTTCCACTAGGCTTTTGATGTCGGCTTGTGGTTATGGTTTTCTCTGCTCCAATTCTTGGTTCCTTGTGGATTGTATAATGGGTCTTGGAATTTGATGAAGTACTTGTGCTTAATTGGGTTCTCGAAAGAGACTTCGGCGTCTTAATCACATGCCCTTTTCTTCTTGAATAATAAAACCCTAGCTCGGATTGTTCTTTTGTTGCTTCCCTTTGTTTTAGGGTCGAATTTCCTTGTCGGTTAATGTCCGAAAAGTTGTCTGGTGTGACCTTGCTTGCTTTCAGTTTTGTCGTTCAAGGATGGGTCTCATGATGATGTGGTATGTGGGTGCACTATTTGCTTTGCGCTGCGTTCATTTTAATGGACGAATTAATTAGGTTCTGCTAGATTGTGTTCTTATGGAGCAAGTGTACCGTTGATTCTGTAAAATTATCGCATTGGATGAACTACCGATGGATTTCTAGTGTATGCGTGTCCCCCTTGGCCTTTTATATTCGAAACTATGATCTGAATCAATCATGTTTACCGCTGAAGGCATCTATTTCTCCTGCCAGTTAATTTCGCTTCGGTTGGATGATCTCGAAATATGTTTGCTTTAGAAGTTCGGTTTATTTTCAGTTTGCTGATTATGTGGCCATACTTTCTATTACTGCAGCTTCTAATCCTCCACCAAAACCTTGGGAACAAGTAGGGGGATCGTCGGGTCCAGCACCGTTTAAACCCCCATCGGCTGGCAATACAAGTGAGGTAGTTGAGGCTTCTGGGACTGCAAGACCTGGAGAAATCGTATCTAGTTCTGATAGGACTGCCACTGTTAATAGGAACTCACTTGGTAGGCCTGTTCCAACAAGACCTTGGGAGCAAAACTATGGGAATACCAGTTATGGAGGAGGTTTGGATTTAAATTTTTCATCTGCTTACTACTTGAGTATGCATTCTATGGATTCTGAGATTCTTTTTTGTTTTTCTTAATGTAGCATATGGTTCGACAATGAATAATTCACTTTATGGTTCTGGTATGTATGGTTCTTCGTCTTATGGCGGTGGGATGTATGGGAACAGCATGTATAGAGGAGGTTATGGATCTTCTGGTATGTATGGAGGTGGAATGTATAATAGTGGCTTTGGAGGTCCAATGGGTGGTTATGGAATGGGGATGGGTGGTCCTTATGGTGGTCAAGATCCAAATAACCCATATGGTCCTCCCTCATCTCCTCCAGGATTTTGGATGTCATTTCTGCGAGTGGTAAGCTATTTACTTGTCTCTGTTATCATCACCCTTGTTTATTTATTTTTGGTTGGGTGGACGGGATTGTAAGGTTTGATCAGCGTATCGTTACAATTATCCATTGTTATGATGTTTATTACCTTAGTGTAACCACCTAAGCCCACCGGCAGATATTGTCTTCTTTGGACTTTCCCTTTTGGGCTTCCCCTCAAGGTTTTAAAATGCGCCTACTAGGGAGAAGTTTTCACACTCTTATAGGCAATGCTTCGTTCCCTCTCCAACCACCGTGGGATCTCACCATCCTCTCCTCTTGGGGGCTCAACGTGCCCCTATTAGGTTTTAAAACGTATCTAATAGGGAGAGGTTTCAATATCCTTATAAGGGATGTTTTGTTCCCCCTCCAACCAATGTGGGATCTCACAATCCTCCCCCCTCGAGGGCACGACGTTCTCGCTAGCACACCGCCCGATGTTTGGCCTTGATACCATTTGTAATAGCCCAAGCCCACTGCTAGCAGATATTGTCCACTTTGGCCCGTTACGTATCGCCGTCAGTCGCACGGTTTTAAAACGCGTCTGCTAGGTAGAGGTTTTCACCCGCTTATAAGGAATGCTTCGATCCCCTCTCCAATCAATGTGGGATCTCACAATCCACTCCCTTGGGGGCTCAACGTCCTCGTTGGCACACCACTCGGTGTTTAGCTTTGATACCATTTTTAACCGTCCAAGCCCACCACTAGTAGATATTGTCTGTTTTGGCCCGTTATATCGCCATCAGTCTCATAGTTTTAAAACGTGTCTGCTAGGGAGAGGTTTTTACACTCTTGTAAGGAATGCTTCGTTCCCTTCTTCAATAGGATCTCACATTTAGTCTGTTTTATTGTGTCAAAGTTGCAAACAATGCCATCTAATAAAACCAAATAGTTTTCCTAAATTTTGCTTTATTCTCTTGAAAGTGCTTATTTTCAAATAATTACTTCTTAAAATTCTGTTTTCGATTACTTCAAGAATTAAGGGTGAATTGATAAAGATTGTTTGATGTTCATGTTTGTACTCCTGAATTCTCAACTTTTTACTTCTCTGCAGATGCACGGTGTTGTGAACTGCTTCGGTCGAATATCTGTTCTTATTGACCAAAACACACAGGCGTTCCATATGTTCATGTCTGCACTACTTCAGGTGTGTTTGCTTGTCCTTTTGACTTCCCACCCTTACTTTATAAATGTTTCATAGATTATGCTGAATACCAACAACAACGATACCTATTTAAAGATCCGCCAACTTAAAACATAAAAGACTGTAAAAGCAACAGAAATGGTAGATGTTTCATTTTCAAAGCGGAGACATGAAAGTGAAAACTGGAACTTAAATCCCCATTAATGGTAGATGTTTACTAATCCTACTTTTAGATGCTGAGAACCGTACCAATAAGTATGTGGATGTTTGATTGTGATCTAGATATTACCTTGAGTTGTACATGATGTGATATACGTGTTTTCTTTAGAAAGAAATAAACATGTGTTGTTATTGATGATGTATTATTCCCGTGACAGCTTTTCGATCGCTCGGGTATGTTATACGGAGAGCTTGCTAGATTTGTCTTAAGGCTGCTTGGGATTAAAACCAAACCTAGGAAAGTTGGACAAGTAGGCCCTGATGGGCTTCCTCTTCCTGGAGCACCCCATCCTCATCAAGGCCGGAACTTGCTCGAGGGACCAAAGGCAGCTCCCGAAGGTTCATGGGATAATGTTTGGCCAAACGGTGGTCAGTAAATGAACAATGTCTCTTAATATAATTAGTCTATATCTTCAACAAGTCGCCATCTCTACAGCTTGTCGTCGTCAATTATTTCATTATAGGTTATATTTTTTTGTTCTGGAATCTGATAAGACAGCGATATGAAATGGTAAATCTGTTGTCTTTGACCTGAAATACCAGTTTACTGGTTCTTTGAGTTGTCGGGTTTAGTATTGTTTCGTTTTTTAAAATTTTTTGTTTGGTGGTGTTTGATCTATAAGATGTTGAACCACAAACTTTGAATTTGAAAAAATATACACGGATACCATTGAAAAATGCGTCCATGGAGTTACTGCCTTTAGTTTTAGGCTTAACATTGTCGTTCGTATAATCCCTTTTGAGAGTTCAAGAAAATAAACCTGAAGAACACGATTATATCATAAATAGTTGTGGATATCACTGTACGAACAGTGTATTATAAATATCATAAACCATATTCTCAATACACTAAGATTCTAAATGATTCAAAAAAGAAGTATGGAACCAAGTTTTATTCAACTTTGAGAATGATCCAACTCTCCTCCAACATCATGCAACAACATCATGCAACAATAGATAGAGAGACACAGAGAGAGATTACAAAATGATGATGATGATGATAATGATAATAATAATAATAATAATAATAATAATAATAATAATAAAAGAGCTACTACTATACACAAGACTCAAAATATACATACAAAAATCCAGGGTAAAATTCCCAAGATGCCCCCCAAACATTGAACAACACCACAGAACATCTTCATCTAGATCTAACTCAGTACAAAAATGCACTGATCATAATAAAAAATGAAAAAATGAGCATTGGGAAATCCAATCCTTCCTCACGCTGGCCTGCACATTATATCATTTCACACAAACAACTCAGCCATTGCATCAAATGTATGCTAAAAAACAGGACAAATCAGATCAAGAACAACAGATACAACACTTGATCATAGACAAAAAAAATCCGAGAAATGATTCAGCCATTGCCCGTTGTATCATGTCGAAAATATAACCAAATACCATGAAAAATATGAGAAACAGGCCAAGAGCATGTTTTCGCTATCCTAAAAAGACATACCAAACTCGTCGTAGATACTAGTCAGATCTCTAATAAGCAAATGTACATAGGATCCTTGAAGACTAATGCAAGTTTGATATGATTTGTAGAAAGATAAATATGAAATCAAGACCATTCCAATTTGATTGCTAGACAAGATAAGCTTAACATGCTTGTGCCACAGCATAGATGGAGCTACCTTTAATCCTATCCTTCCCACCATCATGAATATATCAAAAGGAAAATAGTTCACAAAGAAAAAGTCCGTAGAGTAATGGCACCCACCATGGTTTCTCTTAGTCTCTGTTGTTGGTAGAGCAGGCAATGACATCTCTGTGCAAGTATAATACAAACTTGTCGATTAATAAAACTCTCATGTCAAACTTTTAAGTGTAACAAGCAACAGAGCAAAAATTAGTCTCCTTTTTATCAATTACCGGGCGCACAAAGAGACAGTGTAGAAATTGAGGACGACGAAGGCCACGGTGCTGCAATGTTATCAGTCAAATCACAGGTGAAACTAAAGCCCGTGGAATTGTCAAATATCACATCTGAAGGCAGGCTCCGAAGAAGACATCCTAAATTTCGAAAAAGAACGAAGACAGAAAATTTCAACACAAACATTATTTAGAGAGAGAGTATCAATCACTATAATAAAAAGAAAGAAGGTGCAAAACAGGGAAGAATAGCAAACCTTGCTGTCCATAGGCTATATTTCAGATGCCACGCCGATGCACAAAATAAATCGGAATGTTAGATAAGATAGAAACAACGACGATGAAGGAAAATTAAATTAACAATGCAGTAAGTATCAGTACCTTGAATGCTGAAATCTTTCAAGTCGACATCACACAGCTCATAAACATTTGTAATAACCCCACCTTTTCGCAACATGGATCCGAACATTGTTGAACAGATTATAGCTTGTTTGTTCGTAATTAACATTTGCTTTTGGATCCCAGCAATGTAAGTGTTCAATGAGCTGCAGCATGAGGGATTAGGAGCAGCAACATTGCGGCAATCTTTAATTACTTCCGAGGGCTGCTCAAAATCCAAAGGACAAACTGTACAGAACATACACATTTCAAATAAGGCATGGAATAGGAATACTTTAAAACAAGCACATTCTATGATTAGGAAAGGGGAAGAAGATTATAAGAAAAATGGACAAACTGATATTCCAATAAATATGAACAAGCACCTAACCTTTGTTCACTTTGCAGGCAGATAATATTCGAAATGCAGTGTTGGCAGCATCGGAGGAGAGTTTCCTAGAAATATATGAATAGACAACTCTTTTACAATCGTTTATTGAATCAATATGATTCGGCTCCCCTGCCAAGTTATTATTGGTATCCATAGAAAATTGCCTTCCAGAAATCTGAAGTGCAGCCTCCATGATAGCAGGCTGACATATTGGTCTACAACACTCCTTCAGAGGATCAACTGTATCACATGCATCTAATAATTTGCTTACATTAACTGATTTTTCAAACGTTGCAACGTCTGTGACTGGACATGACCCACCAGTAAGATTTGAAGATTTGACCGAGCAAAGAGAGGGTATCGTCTGATTCGCTCCTCTGCTGGCTAAGATGCTAATGATATCTGAAAAACAATCATTAGCAACTGCCTCTTGTAAAACCAACCGATCAGAGGTTAAGCCATAGAAACCCTGGAAGATATGGAGCAGGCTACTTAGTTGTGGACAGCAAATAACATTTCCTACAAGTGCTGCCATGGGCTGAGAACAATCTGATGCTGTTTTGTCCATAACATTTGATATGACAGAGAAATTTACAGGGCATCTTCCAGTTAAGACTGGTTCATATCTGGTAGGAAAAGTTGGATACATTGGAGGCAAAGAATCATTGGGATAAGGGTATTGTGGGATAACTGCAGGTGATATTTCTATAGGATCAAAGACAACACTACTAGGTGATTGAGCCTGCTCTCTTGTGGAAGAAACAAGACTATGCTGTACCAGAGTAGATAAGACAACTCCATCATGAAAACTGGATATCCAGACGACAAACAATAGTAATCGGTGGCACATATTACCTGAAATTAGGTAATAACCAGCATTCAGTATTGCATACGCCACTATCCCGAGGAATTACTTATGCGTTAACAAGAGATGCCATCATGAGAATTTTAGATCATTTTGAACTACTTAAGAAATGACAATTAGATGTACTCCATTTTAGTACACCTGATCATTGCATCTCCGCATTGAATAATATTTCAAAGATCAATGAAACAAATAGAAGTGCTTAATTATAATAACATAACAATAGAAAGAGAGTCGTCTAAAATATAGATTCCATGCTAGCTTAAAGATAAGGCCAGCCTTGGCAGGGAAAGCAGACCTACCATTCGGATAGCTTACAGTACGAAAGCAGTCCATCATTCCATTAACCTCCAGGGGACATGATGTAGGCAAAATAATTCCCAATTGTAGTTTGCTGAGTTCGTGGAAAAATGCTCTATAGCATATTAAATATGCCAATACCACCTTCAAGCACAGAGTTCTAAATTTAGCAAGACACTACATAAGATAAAGGCAACATAACTCATAGGAAAAGGAATCACTTCATTTTAGCATGCTTTAAAGCGAATAACAGCCATTATAAATTCACCTACTGCCATATTTTGCAGGATGATCACAAATACTATGCAATTCAATTGTCATCTTTTCCAGATTCGAATAGCAATCTTCGTGCAGGAAACATGGAAGACCAATAAAATGATTCCTTTTTTCTCTGAAGTCTGAACTGATCTTGTGGAGTTCAATATAAGAACCAAAATATAAAGATGGCATTACTAACATCCCATCAGAACAAAGGGACAACTCCTCTATGAAATTGCAAAATCTAATGGAGAAGACTATTTGAATTGCATTGTAAGTTGGAAAAATAAAAGTGAAGCTCAAAAGATTATTATCTTGGAGAAATGCCAAGTTTAATAGGTAACTATTCACATGCTACATGTCGAGTATAGACTGCAATACAAAACCAAAGTACACGAACTATGCAAGACCAAGCACACAAAAATTTAATGCAGGAAAGTCACAATTCAGAAACCCTAAACAATCAGAACCAACACATGAATCTCTCTCTCTCTATACACAAACAAGTTATATGGCAACCTTTTTAGAGCTCTAGCGAATCGGCGGCGTAAGCATCTTTAAATGGCTAATCCATGACAAACAGGACTTCAACGCGAAAAATAATTCCAGAAAACAAAAAGAAAGCTCAACCAAACAGGACAACAACCACACGGCACCAAAATCGAGCTTCACTAAAAAGAAGAAAAAGAGGAACTCATTACAACCTTTAACCTAGAAAAGCAAACAGAAAACAACTCAGTTCAAGGCAAACACACCTGAAGAAGAAGAACCCATTGAACAACTCCGTTTACCGTGCAATTAAACAAGCAGGAGCTTCGGAATCAACAGCCCGAGCACCCGGAAATGCTTTTGGGAGCCGATCGGCCGAGAGATTGAAGGGATGGGAGCTCCAAATCAGAAAAAATGGCGGGGGGACGGCGTCCCGGAAAGAGCCGGGAGGAGAATTACCCGCTCCCTGTAGTTGTAAAAGCGAGGGTAGGTACAGGGGAGAGAGGGGAGTGGCAAAATGAATGGAAAAAGGCACAAACTTTACCTTTGTTGGACCCATTCGGATCCGGGTCAAGGGGGAATAGCGGGTTTGTTTGACCCATTCGGATCCAGGTCACCGGCAAATATCGGGTCTTATCCGGACTTTGTTGGATCCGAATCCAATGAGAATCTTTCCTCATTGGGGAGTGGGTAAGAACATTTGACCTTTGCAACATATCTTTATAGACTTTGCTTTCCAAATTTATTTGACTTTTTTTTTCTTTCCTAATATATTTATATATATATATATATATATGAAAACGTTAAAATTACGTTCATACCCTTAATTTTTTTTTTTGCTAAGTATACGGAGCGTTAGCTCCTTGAGACATTGAACTTTCATTGTCACCATCTCAGAAGGTAATAAGCTCGTTTTATAATCATTCTCTTGATTATAAAAAAAAATTGTACTTACGGTCAAATCGTGTAGAGAGGTTGTCATCAAGTTTAATCTGATCCACAACCAAATAGAAAGAAAGAGATGACAAAATGTCAACCACATAACTAAACTAAATTTGAAACGAAATGCTTAATATAGAAGAGCTAAAGCATTATAAATAACTACAAATTTGAAGCGTTCTTAATCGAATCTCATCTTGTACTTTTTTTGTCGTTGATAATGGACATCTCGAAAGGAAGCATGCTCGTGTTTATTTGCATTCTCCTGATTAGTATCGACATGATCGAGATTAGCAATTCAGAAGCAAAAGAAACGAAATGTAGCCCGAAACATCCTGAAGAATGCAAAAAGGCAAAGCATGAAAAACCGCGAGGAGTTAGTATCAAAGAGGATATTATTAAAGATATCCATAAAAGGATAGCCAAAAAAGGAGCAAAGCGTCGTGATTGATATTAATCGTTTATTTTGAATATATATTCATTTGCTAAATTTACGTGTTTTTTTTTTTAATTAAATTTTCAAATAATAATGGAAAAAAAGTATTAAATTTACTCTTGTATCTCTTACGACATTGTCACGTTATTTACTCATCGCTTCTAAGAGTAGAGACTATCCTACAAACTAATACGAGTCATTTTACAAAAATTTTCAAGAGGTCGACTAACATATAACTGTTCTATGCAAAACATAATTGAGTTACTGAGAAAGAAGTGCATTTTATCTTTTAAGCATATCTTAGCTATCTTATATTTAGGATCACTCTCATTTGAATGTGGTTCCAGTTCATTCATCTACCTCAAAAACACTTCACCTATTCTCTCACCGTGTCCACGAGCCTTCCCATTTAGAGGGAAGAGAAGGCAAAAAAGTAGCGTTGAAGCAACGTGAACCAACTTCTATTACTCCACAAAAAAAAAAAAAAAAAATGATTTAGGTTTTTTTAAATACATGTCTACAGAAATAGTATTTATGAAGTTAATTTTTAAAAATGAAAACAAAAATTAAAATAAAAATAAAATTTACGTCAATAAACATAATAAAGAAAAATTAAAAATTTGATTGATTCAATTTTTATAATAGTATTTTCTTAAATTTTTAACAAAGGTAAAAATCGATAAGGGAATCAGTAACATATAGATTTACCTTGATGATTAACATCGAGATTTGAATTACTATACAATGACAGCTTAATCAATGACTATAATATACAAATCTAAACACAAGAAATATAAATAAACAAATTTGTGACATAAAAAAAAAATAATATTCTAACTTTCATTTTAATTTTTAAAATTTTTATTCTAATAATTTAAAAATTTTATATTTCATCGAGAAGTTGTTGTGACATGATTAAGATATCTTATTTATTTCATATCAAATTTTCTATGAACATTCTGATCCCTACGAATTCTCCACAAAGAATTTATGTTAGGTTCCTTGCAAAATTATATGGAGAATTACTAAGTCATGGTTCTCTGGATCTATATGATCAAATTTGATTAAATTGTCACAAAAAAAAACATAAATTTATTTATTTGAGTGGGAGCAGATGATTCAAACCTAAATTTTGATAAGGTAAAGGATGATGCTTGACTAAAAACATATCCAAGAAAATAGTATAAACTTGGTGTCCCAAACAAGGGAAAGATCGTAGTTGAAAATTTAGAAATTATTGTAAAATTTTCAATTTTACCAATAATTTGCGACCTCCGGTCGGGGGTTGAGGAAATATTAGGGGGGGGCAAACGGAGCATGATTCTGTTGAGCGAACATGAAGAACACTGGCATTAACACTCTCGGCGGCGAAGATCGACAAACAAAAGACAATACGATCTCAGGTCTCGATTCCCGATTCAATCAGACCCTCAGAAATGTTCAGGGGTAACAATCTCAATTCCCCCTAATTCTTGTTTCCAAATCTCTGATTTCCTTTCCTTTCCTTTCCTTCCCTTCCCTTCCCCTCTCTTTTCTGTCTCTCTTGCTTGAATCTTCATTCGATTTTGAAATCCAGTTGCCCAACTAAGATTTCGATCTCCAATTTCATAACGAATCGTTTTCTCGTATGCTATTTTTTTTCACATTTAATCGGTTAGCTCAATAATGTAAGCTTTTAATCTTCGGAGTATCTGTTAGATTATTGAGGAAATCTTCGTGGGCTCTGTAGATCTTTATATATGAGCTACGGCTTACATAGATGCGATCTGGCCTCCATGCCGTTTTACATTTGGATTCTGGGAAATGTGTGGGAGCACTGCAGATGGAAATTTAAATTGCTACTCATTTCCTGTTTGTTTAACTATAATGTTGGGGCTCTTAATCTAGGAACTTTAACAGCCTGCCCAACTCTTGACACTTGTAGCTGGATAATCTAAACCAGATATCGACTAGTCTGAATTTTGATATTGACAGAATTGGATAACTATCCTGTAACTTTCTAAATGCTTCAATTCCTCAAAAGTTACCTGGTGGAGTCTACCTTCTTATTCATTAAATGTTCTTAAGGCTGTCACAGTTGGTAGATGCCGCTAGTTGATCCCATAAATTCTTAATCACATCTCTGATGCAGGCTGCTGAAAGGCCGCAGTATTCCTGGAAAAGTATTGCTCACTAGAAGATCAGACGTGATCGACCCCTCGAGCGTATCAGAAAAATCATCAAATTATTCGAGGAGCTTGTCGCATAATGATATTGGTACAAGCAACCGCATTGCCAAATCTGAGGAGGTGAGACTGATCTGAAAATTTTCATGTTAGTTTGGATGTGAAGACACATTATAGTGAAACTCTCTCTTTCAATATAGGAAGATATTCAGATTATGAATAATAATACAATTGTTAGTAAGTCTAAATCTTCAACCTCCAACACCGAGGATCTTGCTAAAGAAGTCCAAAAGCCAATAATGGGTGCTAGAGCAACAGATTCTGCAAGGGTCCTGAAGTTCACAAAGTTGCTATCAGGAACAACAATCATATCAGGTATATATATGCGTATAGTTTTAAATAATCCTCCCCCATCATGAACTCAAAGATTCCTATGCACAGTCAAAACTTGGTAAAGGAACACTAATGCATTGGGGTGCTTATATTCATTTGACTATGTAGACAAGTTGCGTGAGCTAGCTTGGAGTGGTGTTCCGCCATATATGCGCCCAAATATATGGAGACTTCTTTTGGTAAGTTGGATCTGATACTCATAATTTCTGATTGCTTGATGGAAAGCAGGATTTCTTCTTCCTCCTTTTTCCCTCTTGTTTTTCCATGTGATAACTGGTATATGATGCTAATTGTTAATATATATGCATGTATATTTTCTGAAGAGGAAAATATTCCTTCTCAAAGAGCTCTTTTTCCTTCAAATTGATCATTCTGATTATAAATTCCAACAACAGAAGGCTTGTGCCAGTAACTATTTGGTATGGGTCTAGATCTCATATGACTAAGTTTTCTTGCGTGTGTGGCCAAGGGCTTGGATTGAATGTGATAGAGATGGGCCTCATGCCTCATTCATTTAACCATCTGACTAGCTCTACCCCATGCCCTTCCATCGGGTGGGGAACAGAGTGGGATGTTGAGTTGAACTCGAGGTAGGCTTGCTTCCTCAATGCTTGCATAGCTAAAAAAAATGAAAAATGACTCATAATGGAACGTTCTTCAACATATCTCCTAGAAAAGCTAGACTACATGTACCTCTTGACGACCATAAAACGGGACTGCGAGAAGGAACTATTCTTGTTTAGAATCCTCTAAAATCAAGCAAGGTTCTTAAAAATCGTCTTATGGGCAGTGTTTTAGGTGCATCTTGTTTAGATGCTGATTATGCATTTCTTTGGTCTAGCATTAGTGGATTTGCTCCTAGGATTATTTTTGTTCCTCCACTGAGCGCTTTGTTCTCCATTGTTTTATTTGGTTTCTTACATTTTTGTAGAGTTCTGTTCTTTTTTTGTTTGGTTGCTTGTGTTTTTCACTCTCTATGGCAGTTTGTTCTCTTAACATTTCAGTGAGTTATTATTATAAGTGAGCATTATTTATCAACGTCGATTGTTATCTAGCTTGCTTAGAAGGGCAATTTCACAGAGACTTCCCTAACTTGTCTGATACAATCCTTTAGCTGTTTGTCCAAAATTTAAAAATGCACTGACAACAGGGCTATGCACCACCTAATTCAGATAGAAAGGAGGGAGTTCTACGAAGAAAGAGGCTTGAATATCTTGACAGCGTTGCACAATTCTATGACATTCCTGATGCTGAACGGTCTGACGATGAGATAAACATGCTCCGCCAGGTAATAATGCCTGCGAGTCAGTGCTGAATTTTATAAATTGTCCTCTCTAGTTCTTCCAGTCCTTGAACCATGTGTTCCTTGTTAGATTGCTGTTGATTGCCCTAGAACCGTACCTGATGTTACTTTCTTTCAACAAGCACAAGTTCAGAAATCTTTGGAGCGTATTCTCTATACTTGGTAAGATATTTTTTTTTAATGAGAAACAAAGAACATTGGTAAAACTGTATCCTCTACCTTGCAATGTCACTAACTTGTACCAGAATCCATTTATTTATTTGTATCTCATTTACACAATTGTTTTCAATCCAGGGCTATTCGACATCCTGCGAGCGGATATGTTCAAGGAATAAATGATCTTGCTACTCCATTTTTAGTTGTCTTCTTGTCAGAATACTTAGAAGGTGGTGTTGAGAAATGGTCCATCTCTGATCTATCTCCTGACAAGATCACAAACATCGAGGCAGATTGCTACTGGTGTCTATCGAAATTACTTGATGGTATGCAAGATCATTATACGTTTGCCCAACCGGGAATTCAGCGGCTTGTATTTAAGTTGAAAGAACTGGTTAGGAGGATTGATGGTAATCTCTCTTTCTGGACTCGACTCTTTTGTAGAAGCCATGTGCTTGAATTTCCTTCAATTTATCTTCCTCACAGCCTAGAGAATCGGATACGACAAGCCATTTATTAACCAGTCTTGTATGCTTCTTAATTTGACCAGAACCTGTTTCAAGACACATGGAGGAGCAGGGTCTGGAGTTTCTTCAATTCGCTTTTCGGTGGTTCAACTGTCTTCTGATACGGGAGGTTTGCCAAGAACTCTGTATTCATAATGCTATAGCTTCTTCCAGTTACTTCTGTTGGAAATAGATTAAAACCAAATCACATTCTACAATTAAGATAATTCAATGTTGATGATATTGTTTTGTTCCATCAGATTCCTTTCCATCTTGTTACCCGGTTATGGGATACTTATCTTGCGGAAGGGGACTCGTTGCCAGATTTCCTTGTCTACATATTTGCCAGTTTTCTTTTGACGGTAAGGATATCAAATTTGTTTTGATAATCCAATTCTAGAATGGAACCTGAGGTAAATGGTCTGAATGGTTTTCATTACTGAAGCATCACAGTGTGTTCCAAAGATTCTGATGCCTCTGAGTAGCTCTTTGAAATGAAGGGCAATATCATATCATTTTCACCCACTTGAGTTTCTGTTCAAAGTATTTTGTGTAGATCTTGTTTCTGAATTAGCCTTTTCCCTTCGTTTCAGTGGTCTGAAGAGCTGCAGAAACTTGATTTCCAAGAACTGGTGATGTTTCTCCAGCATGTTCCAACTCAAAATTGGACCCATCAAGAACTTGAGATGGTGCTTTCAAGAGCATACATATGGCACAGTATGTTCAACAATTCACCCAGACACCTTGTTAGCTGAATGGGATTTGTTCTACTCACGCTTGGAAAGTTGACCTATTTTTCCCTCCTTTTCTCTTCTTTCTCCAATGGGGTTTCTGCTCTGCTGCTCTGCTGCTCTGCTTGTGTATGAAAACTCTTCAAATCTTCTGCCATGCATGTACCATCATCCCTCCCTTGTATCGTCTGTATTTCCCCAGCAATTATTTGTAGATTTCTGTATTTGGACAGAGCGAAGTAAAGTTAAACGTTTTTGTTCAGATATAAATGAAATTCTCTGTCAAAGAGTAGATGGTTGACTCATCTTCATCCTCACATACTCATCTTTTTTTAATGTTCAAAATTTTGTATGAATTTTTGCAATCATAAATGCAAAAAGATAACGACAAAATTTAAATGACTTTCAAACCATGTCGTAGACCAAGCTTAGATACTTCAAACGAATTCAAATATAAAAGGATTTACCTTTCTGATACTTTTCGGAATTGGCGGAGTGGTGGGTGGGAGAGAGGGAGAAGGATAATGGGAATATCGGCCTCAAAACGAGTCAGGAACTCACTGTCGAACTCGCCCGATTTCGACTCAGCCTGCGATTCCACTTTCTCCCACTGCCTTGACCTAACGCAGCACGCATACGCCGGCGTTTTCCCCTACCAACTCTGCACCGCCGCCGACCACCTCCACCGTCTCCTCACCACCGTCCGCCCTCATCCACTCATTGCCAAGTGGCTTCCCTCTCCCCCGACTCGGCAACAGGTCGACTCAGCCCTGCGAGCCGTCAATCGCGAGGACGCGGATCGTGAAGACGAAGAAACCCTAGGACCGATCCGCTTCAAGCGTTGGGCGATGGAGCTATTCGCAGAGGCTGTAGTGAAGAATGTCAGCAAAGAAGTGATGTTTCGAGTTCCGGTCGGAATTGCAGGAATCGCGGGAATCGGCGCCGTGACTCGGTCGGGAAAAGACCTAGTTGGGACTATGGTTGCAGTGTACGCGCTTGGCGTTGCGACTTCGATGTACCTTGGCTTGTCTGGATAGTAAACGGAGCGGTGGATGCTGTTTGTAAATTACTTGTTTTTGTTGAAGGCTAAATATGGAATAAAACTATGTCCTCCTTTTATTTTAGTTTTTATATATTTTTTAAATATTCAGAATTAACTTTTATATTATTTTAAATTGACATCAATTTTAAAATAACTATTTATTATTATTTAAAATAATTTGTAGTTAATTTCTATTAAACTTTCTAAAATAATAGTAATAAAGTTAAGGTTTTCAAATATTTAATTTTAGTTTATGTTTATTTTAATAAATTTTAAAATTAAAATTAGTTTTTAAACAGATAGTTTATTAGGACCGAACTATACTTATTTAAAATAATAGCAATTTATGGTTTGTAATTAAATGTATTTTGATTTAAAATGTTATAAAAATTGAAGTAAAATAGACGTATTTTAAAAATCATAATTTAGGGTTTTTATTGTTTCATATTCGTTCATTCCTCGGTCATCATCTCCCGTTTGTAAACCCTTTCTAAACCTTTGTAGCACTCGATTTCAAGTTGCAGACCTCAATTCAGGTATTTTGCTTAATTTCTCCTTGATCTTGCTTGAATATCTGTTCTTTAATTCCTTTTATTTACTATATCTCGATTAATTTCTTGACCACTACAAATGTCTTCTCCATTTCGCTATTAGATGCGAACCTGTGAAATCTCCAACCAAGCCCTAACTTAGTCGGCAGTCTCCTCTTTTGAATTTTGTTTTTCGCGAATCTAATGCTTTCAGTTGCTAACTTAACGCATTGTTTTCTGTTTGTTTTCTTTGTTCTTTGCTGATTTTGTTTTGTTATTTGATGGGCATACTCTTATTATAACTCTGTTTGTTAACTTCCATTATCTCCCTGTTAACTTTTCTGGGTTGCATTAACCTTTGGGAAGCAGTGTTGCTGTTGTAAGGATGGTTGAGCTTCTCTTTGATGATATCTTTAAGATCGAGCGATTAAACCCAGATGGCAAAAAGTTTGATAAAGGTGCGTTTTTTTTGTAAAATAGTTGCTCACCCTTTTGCATGCAGATTCTTCTTTTACCTCTTTGATGTGCATAGAAGTTGTGGAGTTTTCATTTCCCCTAGGTTGTCATCCGGAATAGTATAAATGTTCTAAGAACTTTTCAACACAGTTAGGCAAATGACATTGGTGTTTTCACAATCTGTCCAACAGTTACTCGAATCGAGGCAAAGAGCGAGAAGTTTGACATGTTCATGCATCTGGACATTAATACAGAAATATACAACTTGAAAGAAGGTGAGAAGTTTTCAATGGCGCTGGCTCCAACTCTGAATCTTGATGGAACCCCTGACACAGGCTATTTTCTTCAGGTAACTTGTTCTTCCAGTGATTTATAGTCTGTAACAGGAAACTTTCAATCAATTAGGGAATATTGGGTTTCCATAGTTTCTGCATGTCTATTCATTGTCATGACTGGTTTGGTTGTTGTCTGACGACTATATTTGTGTCTTCCTCTGTTCAATTATTAGTTTGGTCTGAGGCTTGAATTGTTATTCTGTGTTACAGGGCAATAGGAAGTCGCTTGCTGACAGATATGAATATGTCATGCACGGGAAGCTGTTTAGAATATCAGAAAGTTCTGGGCATGGCGGTAAAGCGTACGTGTTATAACTTCTCTAAACAATTTTGTTCTCAAATACTACAATTCTATTGCATAAGCCATGAACGAAGCAAGAGCTTGACGTTCCATCACTTATATTTTATCTATGTTTGAGCAAGAATGTGTCATAGAGCATCTTCTCCTGTCTGTAATGGCTACCATGAATGGCTATTATGGTGATAAATCCATTTTAGTTTCTTTTTATGAACAGTTTACGAACGTAGATGATACATATTTTCCGGTTGAATTTTTATCTTGAATGGAGTATTTCATCTGAATCCAGGGAAATAGATGCTTCTTTTGGTGGGCTCCTGATGATGCTGAAGGGTGATCCCTCACATTGCAGCAAGTTTGAACTTGACCAGAGGCTGTTTCTTCTCATCAGGAAGGTGTGAAGCCCTGTCATTTGAATTGAACTCTGATGACTTTTACTATGAATGCTCCCGACATTGCCTGTCTCTCTAGAACATATAAGAACTGCGAACGTGTAGAAATCTATGTATTCTGAGCGTTGAATTGAGATCTGTATTTGATGAAAGATTAGGCGTGTGATCTTATCTTTTGAACGTTTTGATCATCGCTTCGATCTTGCCAATAATGTCATGAACCATGATCACAATATCACTCTCGTTTTCCATGCCTTTTGGTAGTTGAATTATCATAATCGAGTTCTTATTACACGCCTGAGGGAGAGCTAGGGATGGTCATTGTTGTGGTGCCTTCTTGAGGTTCGTGTGAACGGCTAGTAGCACAAAGGTTTTTTATTTCAAAGAGAGAACTAAGAAAGATAGGGATCAAGCATGGTAGTTGTTTTGAGAAAGTTGTGTAGGTTGTTGAGTTGGGTCAGTTGATATCAACTCAGGCTTTGCTTTCAGCATGACGATACAATGAATTTGATATCAAATAACATCTTGAGCTATGCTCGAATTGTAGCTCAAATTGATCCCGTTTTAAATTCTTACTTGAGATTTATTTATTTGTTTGCTTTTTTTTTTTGCCCAAAAAAAGATGTCTTCTCATTTCTATTCTTAGCCTGATCTTCTGGCATGTTTTACATTTACTTTTGTATGCATACTCATATATGCCATCATATATCATATATTCTTGTGCTATCTTACGCTGCTCATTAAGTTTCTTTCTAACATCTTTTGGCAATGTCGAAAAAATTTATGACGAATCCACTGGCAGAGAACATCATGGATGAACGTAAAAAAATTGTGGGTCAAGGTAAGAAAAAAAAAAAGAAAAAATTGAAGCTCGATCTGAACACAAATCCAAGTCCAGTTGGTCCAATATATTATTTGAACGTTTATGACTGAGCCTTAGGTTTGGTTAATTATATAAACATTTAGGGCCGAATTAGTTTTGGTTGGCCGATTGAATTAGCTCCACAATATCAATTACTTAACTACGATTTTAGAGAAATTAATTTTTAAAATTAAAAAATATATTGAATGTCCGTTTTTATTGAATTTAATTTAAAATTATGGTATTTTATGACTTATATCTGATAATTATTAATATTATAAAATTTCATTTAAATTTTGATTAATTGCACTTCAAATCGAGCTGGGATTGAATTATTGGAATTGGGCAGGCTTGGCCGGTTGATGAGGCTGAGGTGGAACACAAGCGATCCCCTGTTATCTTCAATCTATCTCAACTCAACACAATTTCACCATTCCGATTCTTTTCTGCAACGTTTTTGCTTGGGTGTTCGATCATTCATGGCTGCCCAAACCCACGTCTTTACCGGATTAGCTTTGGCTTCAACTCCTTCTTCTTCATCTCAACCCTCTTCATCCAAGCCTTCCACCCTCTGTGTTGCCGCGAAGCCCTTGAGCACGTCCTTCCTTAATGGCGGAGGTACGTTTCCCTTGCTCTTAGCTTACCGTTCTCCTTTTGTTGATTTTAATGGCGGAGGTGTGATCCCTTCCTAAGTTTCATGTTTCTCTATGAGCATCGGTGACACGGTCATTTTATAATTATTCCTTAGGGCATATTTTACTTCATTGGTACACATTCCTTTAGCGGGGTTCCCTTTTTCGGATGCCTACGCATACTTCCTTTCTTTTTTTCTAGACTTAGGTTTCTTAAAAACCTGTAATATTTAGTGGAAATGCTGGCCAGCTTGACCGCTTTGTGTCCATCAATTTGAGATTGGGATTACCTCCTGGCGTAGGCTTCTTACAACATTAATCTAGGATCAATGAGCTGATTGGCTAACATGAGGCAACATTGTGCTGTCTTATAATGAGTTAGGGGAACTTCTAGCTGGATATAGTTGATATAAGCAACTAATTTACTTAGAACTCAAATTAGAAGGCTTTTGATCACTTTAGAAACCAATTTCAAACCTCATGGTCCAACTAGAAATTGAACTCAATCCTCGGAGACTAAACAAAGCACTTAGAAACTTCAAGGATCAAGTAGAAATGGAAGTGTTAGTTTTGACAACCTAGGATCAAATAGAAACTAAGTTCAAATATCAGGAACCAAAAGTATATTCTACCTTAAAATATGAATCAAATTCCACTTAACTTTGTAATAGTTGTGTGCTTAATTACTCTAACAGGAAATCATAATTTTCCCTGCAGGGCACACCTTACAAATTACATGGATGAAGTCTTTACATTTTAATCGATCCCATGGTGGCAGACGTGGAGGTGCTCTTGGTGCTCACATGAACCTTTTTGATCGTTTTGCAAGGGTTGTTAAGGTAGTACTTTCAATTGTTTCATCAATTCGTTTAGTAATCTTTGGAATTCACGGATTTTGAGGATAACCATGACGCTTGCTTTCTCATGAGATAGTCGTATGCTAATGCACTTATAAGTTCGTTTGAGGATCCGGAGAAAATTCTGGAGCAGACAGTGCTTGAAATGAATGATGACTTGACAAAGATGCGTCAAGCCACTGCACAGGTAAGTTTCAGAACCTTGTATTTATCATTTTTCTCTACTTGCTTTACCTTTGGCATTGCTCTTTGCTTCTTAGCCCGTAATGCTGTGTCTGCACTTTCAACTTTCCTTTAAAAATTATTCATATTTCAAAGGGAATTAGAAGATGCATGTTATTAGGAAAATTGTACAAGGAAGCAAAATAATGAGGCATCTATTTCATTTTTGACATGCATACTTAACCAATTAAAATTATGAAATGGACTTTTATTCTTGAAGGTACTAGCTTCTCAAAAGCGCTTGGAAAACAAGTATAAATCTGCACAGCAAGCTGCTGATGATTGGTAAAAATCTAGAACCATTCTCCATTTTCTTTGTGAAGTGATAGGTATACACCTTTCATTTCTAGTTTTAATATAGGTATCGAAAGGCGCAATTTGCTCTTCAAAAGGGAGATGATGATCTTGCTCGGGAAGCTTTAAAGAGGCGCAAATCATATGCTGTAAGTTAGAACAGATTAGTTGACAGATCCCATTCCTATATTTCATGATAAACAGGAATGGTATTTACCAATTTGAAGAAACCTCTTAAATTCTTTTGTCCAATATGGAACTATTTCATGTTACTTTTTCTCCTAGAAGCAATTTTAAAATTGAAATTTTAATTCTGTTTGGCAAGATTTATGATTTATTCTGACCGATGATCACTGTGTTCTACCGTCAGGATAACGCAAATGCTTTGAAAGCTCAACTTGATCAGCAGAAGAATGTTGTGGAAAATCTTGTTTCTAATACTCGGGTATGAAGTTCTAATGTATTTTCCGTTGACCATCACATGAAACATTTTAAATTATATTTTGTTAAATTCTTTTAAGGATACAGCCCAGATTCCCTTGCATTACATTCGTTGGCCATGTAAAAATATTAACCGTAAGGGTAAACGAGTATGAGGAAATCCATCTTCCTGTTGGAGCTATGAAAGAATGCTGTAAAGAACAGTTAATGTTATTTCTGTAGTCTATAGATATTGAGAAGATTTAGTATTCTTCCTTTTGTTGAGATAATGCAGATCCCTATTACATTCCTAGTGTAGCTAGAATTGGAAACTGGTAGAGACAAGTTTTCATATAATATATGCTCGAACATTAGTATGATTCTAACTTTAAGCTTTTAAAACAAGGATAATTAAGCCTATAGAATTCAATTTTACCATTGAATCTTTTCTTTGTAGCTTTTAGAGAGCAAGATACAAGAGGCGAGGTCAAAGAAAGACACACTGAAAGCGCGTGCTCAGTCTGCAAAGTTTGTGATTTAGTCAGATTGTTAAAAATCTCTTTTTTCTCGAGTATCTTCCTTTACTGTTGATGATTGCTGATACCACCTTTCCATGGATTTAGGACTGCAACCAAAGTAAGTGAAATGTTGGGGAATGTTAACACAAGCAGTGCTCTTTCTGCTTTTGAGAAGATGGAGGAGAAAGGTAAGGAAGTGAAATATTTTAGTCAAGCATAGGCTTTCTTATCATCTAACATTACTTTATTTAAATATATTTTCGTTGTAGTTTTTTTGTACTGTTGAGATTCTTGTCTATATGTTACTTATGGATAGATGATCTCCTTCTTGGCTTCTTCCTCGTTATGTATGATTATCTTCCTCAAAATCTTGGTAGTTTTGGCAATGGAGTCTCAAGCAGAAGCTCTTGGACAGTTAACTGCTGATGATCTTGAAGGAAAGGTAACAGTTCTCTGCTTTCCCTCCAAATCTAATTTGTGTTTGATTTTATTACTGGTCTACTGAGCTTAAATTCAGAAACTAGAAAGTATCATTTCTCTTACCTGTCCCTTTTTAAGATTTCTGTAAAAGCTTCTTGAGTCTGAGTAAATCCTTCAAGAAGCTTATGAGGGATTTCCTTTATGAAGGAATGAGGAGAAAGGGTAGCATTTAGACGAGTGGGAGGCGGTAATTGTTTCGTATTTTGTAATACCGCAAGTGTACGTGCCAAGTTTTAATATAGTGATAAGAGTGTTCGAGTATCGTCCTCAAGAGTTTCCAATTGATACGTACATTTTAAAACATATGTCGCTGCACAGCTCTGTTTTATTTTGGCTTTCAGCTATTTCCTATATTGTAGTTTGCTCTGCTGGAGGGCTCATCAGTTGACGACGAGCTAGCGGACTTGAAGAGAGAGTTATCTGGAAGCTCAAAGGTAAAATCATATTCCACTCTTTATATATAAGTTTATATCTGACCGTGGCTCGATCTTCTAAGAATGAAACCTAGAATAGGAACCCAATGGAAGCCTCGACTTTCGTAGATAAACTATATAACAAGATCGCCTTCCTCGAAAGTTTTCTTTCATTGATGCTTCTCTGCGCAGCTTCCTTATACTTAAAGTTTGATTTCTCCAAATGATCTTGAACTTCTTTATGGAGTAAGACAATCTTCTCAGCCATTTCACTAGCTTCCTGACTCAAATCAATAGCAAAAAGAAGATTAGCTTATTCCGCATCTAAATGGGAAAGTTTAGTATGTATGTACAATTTCAAACATTCCTTCAGTATTTGAACCTAACAACGGGATCCTCTCTATTTCTACAGAAAGGAGAACTTCCACCAGGAAGAACTGTTTCTGGCAGCGCATTGCCAGTTCGTGATGCCGAGATCGAGTCGGAACTCAATCTACTGAGGCAAAAGGCAAGAGAATTGTAGAGATGCCAAATCAGTAGAACTATAAATGTC